AAGCAAGCGCCCGTAGGCCAGAAATGTTTTTGGGTCTAGTTAAGAGCAGCACAAGAGGTGGAGAGAGTCATTGACAAACTTAGCATTGAAAACCAAAAGGAAGCCTTCTACTATTCGCCTGTACTGAAAGCCGAAAAAATAATGATGACGGAACATTTGGTGATGCCGATAATAAATAACAAGATGAAAAGTAAAAGAAAACTGACTTGGCTGGAAAACGATAAAAAATTGAAAAAATAAAACGACGACCTTTTCTTGCTTATTTAACTGCTGGTGAAGCCGCAAAAAAGGGAAAAAAAAACAAGATTGAGAAACAGCTGTGTCAGTATTTGCCTTCGGAAGAATCTAATAAAAGTTTATTGGAAGAAGGATCGTGTTCTATTACGTTATTTATTATGATTGTTGAAGAAAAAACTGCGTCGATTATATTTTCAGAGTTGAAGAACTGAAACTCGGTGATGAAGAGGAAATGTGCGTTATGACTAATTCTCTCCTGATACCGAAAATAGTGCAGTTGTTTTGCTGAAATCATAACAAAATTATAACATCGCGAACTAAGGAAGTAATGAAATAACAAATGATGTAGATGGTCTTGAATTTCATTTTCAGACGATGAAGATTCAAAAATATCACACCGAGATCATACAAAGGAAGAGAAAAAAAAAAAGGTGATCGAACGAATACCCATGACAGCCGCTTATTGTGAAGTTCAAATTGAAGTTGGTAACTGTTCAATCAGGGTTATGTCCCACAAAACCAGACTAGAATTCTAAAGTTAACTTTTTCATAGCTTTTAATCACACATATCTTGATGTCGCCCAGAATGACTCAATTCAAAAATCACGATTTGATATAATTGTAATCTTCTCTCCTTCAACTGCAGCCGAACAATAATCCATTAAATGAAACGGCTCCTCACGTAGATCTATACGTGCTAGCTACATGAGGGAAATAGATCGAAATTCTATGAATTTTCGAACCCCAGGCGAGTGCGAACTTGAAGATAACCGCACAGATGTTGCTTTTATCGATCAGATTTCTTCTTTCGGCTTGATTTCGACGTATCAGGAACTGTTCTATCTTGTAGTCTGTTCTATCTTGTAGTCTGTAGCCATAACCTTACGAAGAAGCACACAAGGTCAAACCTTATCGGTTCCACAAAGGGTTTATCGAGCGAGTTTCTGGGTGTATTGACACCTTTCCACAGCTACATTCCAGGGATATACTTTAGAACCTGATCTACATTTTGTTGAACTTCATCCGGAGAGCATCTTTGAAAAACAGTTCGAACTGAAAAATTTTGTCTAAAAATGTCAATTAACTTAAAATTTCTCGATTGATCCAAAGCTCTCGAAGTCAAACTTTAATTTTCGTTGGCACATCTGCGGTTGCTTTATCTCAATGGAGAAAGTGAAAAAGTTTTAAAAATCCTGCCTTTCCGAAGTGGTCTCTCGTAGAGTTTCATCACACGTGATTGCAAGACGAAAGAGCGATTCAGTTTCAAAATATAGCAGCGTCAGTTTCTTGTATTTGAAATCCGGTACAGGTAAGAACGTCGCTATTCAACCTTTTGTTTGCTTGCCACGGCAAGGAAAAAATGATGATTAAAAAAAATGTATATAAAGATATAAGCGAAAAGGAGATAGAATGACCGGGAGGTTCTGATGGAAATACAAAGCATACAAATATTAGACATCTCGTCATCACCTCAAAAATTTTTGCTTTAATAGGAATCTTATATTCCACGCAAAGGATAGATTTTGCAAATTATTTAGAATAGGTATTAAAAATAGTGTCTATGCGAAGAAAAAAAGCAATTCCGAATTTATAAACTTTCCCTCTAAATAATAATCAAATTAGGAAACATAAGAAAGGCCGCGTGACAATGGAAAATGAAAAATGACCAAGCACGCTTTCTTTCTCTTTTCTTCTTTAGTGCGTCAGAGATTTTTATTCAAGGATGATGAAAGATAACAGCATCATTTCTGCCTTGACCAATTACATTTTACTTCGCTTTCCTGGTCGGAATCATAATGCTATTTTGATTTTCGGAAAAATTATAAAAAGAGATACTTGACAGTCATAGCTAACTGGATAGTTGTTGTCGAGCGATCCCTAACAAGGCTAGGAAAACTAAAGAGAAAACTCAGCAATGCCGATTGAGGATAGGTCAATTCCCTACCACTGGGATGAAGAGCCGGTAAGTTTGAGCACACCTAACTTCATTTCTTGGTATGTTATTTATTTGTTACTTTATTGTTTAGAAAAATAAGTTCAGAAATTAGTTGGCTGCATACATTTATCCGAACTTGCAAGAAAAATTTTGTTGAAAGTAAAATACAGATATTCAAATTTTTCCTGATTCCAAGTGACTTCATGAATTAACTTTTGTTGCAAGTTTAGCAAGGAGCGTTGCGATCATTTTCGACTCGGCTCCTTTGCTTTCCCAGATTTGGAATTCGATAACAGAAGGATAGACCACACCCTTCGGCAAACCCTGTAAAAGACAAACTGGACCAAAGCTCAGAACAACAACGAGCTGCAAAACGTTGATCAGAATTTGGGATTAATAAATACGGTTTTTACGTCACATTAGGCAAAAATATTTAAATCAATCCATGATATTGTAGAGATCTTAACACGGCAAAGCTTGTATGATGTTGTACTCCTTATTAAAACACATTTCCAGGCGTAAATATGTTCTTCTAATCCCTTTTGAAATTACTGAAAATGTGACATTGCAGTTCTCGTAAAGTAATCACATCCTGAACATGTGAGATAGGAAAGAATTTTCACCAATATTTTCTGAGCTCTTATTTTTTCTCTCGCTTTTTCAGGGACAAGGGCCTATAAAGAGTTTTGATGGAGTTTACCGCCAGTGGTTTACCTCGAGACATCGAGTTTTTTCTCTGAATAAAGGCGGTCAGGTCCCTGGACATTGCATGAAGATAGACGGAAATACCGTGAGCGCAGATGCAATCGAAAAAGACGAGAGAGGTATCTACTATTTAGAAACTCCTTCTTTAGCTCCAGCCAACACTCTTATGCAAGGATAGAAAGGCCAAAAGTTCAAGTAAGACACAACGAAGGAACGATGCTTTATCAAATCAAAACAAAAAGAAAATTTAATTTCCTAGTATTCGCTCCAGACATTCAGGCAAGCACTATTTTCATTCTGTTGTTTTTACGTCAAAAAAATTCAGTTCTGAAAAGTGGCTCAGAAGAGCCCAAGGAGAATTGATCCTCTTCCTTATGAAATGTCTGCCCCATAAACCGAGCAGTGTTTTCATTTCATTGTGATTTTCTTTTCTGTCCTACAGTAAAATTTCGTTTACACAATTTCACGGAGAATAGGAACGAGACGTGGTACGACTATTATATTATGGAGAATCAGATCAGTGAAGGCTTGGTGGCCATAAACCCAGAGGATGACACTGTCACTGTTAAGGTACCACTCCAAAGAAAACGTACACCCATTAAGTAAAAGCGTCTAACTTCAAACGATAAGATTTCATTAAATGAGTTACAGCTATGATAAGTTTTTCGCGTTTTCGTTTTACGAGACATTTCGCAGAGTTACTATTAAGAATGCTTACACTCTGCATGTACCAGGCACTTGGCATGTACCAGGCATTCCGCATGTACCACGTGCGGACCACGCCTTTCTTTGAGCGTGTGCCGCTAGAAATTAATGGTCAAACCTTTCGTGTAAATATTTTCATAGGAAATAGCAAAGTTATAATTAACGGGAAAAAGTATCAATAACTCAGTTGTTCTATTGCCTTCCAATTTCCAAAAAAGAGAAACTGGTGCAAATGAAAGAAGAATTGTAAATGTTCGTACCCTAATTGAAATCACTGCTAAAATGTATGATCCACCTCCTCTCAAAGCTACACACCGTTCCCCAGGCTCCCTGAACACGATGATTATGACCCCTCTCCTTATATCTTGTATCTTGTTCAACAGCATGCAGATGTAATAGGCTTCAGGACCATTGCACAAGTGAGGAAAGCCAACCTGTTAGATGTGATGTTCATTAAGCAGCAAAAAAAACCTTTGGATGACCAGTTTTGGTTTGAGTCGTGTATCGAGGATGGGAAGAGGCGTGTCCTTGGATTTGACCAAAATGGTATACCCCTGAAAACTACTGAGGTCGAAGCAGGTTCGAAAGAAAGTCTACTGGAGATGAAGCGAGTCTTAATGGCGGAACCATGAGAAGCCCTCTTCTCACCGGCATCCACATTTTCTATGTTATTGAAAACGGTAACAAAATTTTGTTTCCAAAGTAATGAGCAAACTACGAACGCGACAAATCCTTCAACAAGGTCTTGTCGCATGAAATAGCTAATGGCGATACATAGTAAAATTAGCAAGCGAATAAATGCGTAAATAAATGAATTCTTGATTAAAGACAGTGCAGTTGTGTTTACTATGACCAAAGTTCCTTGATGCTTAGAAATTCACCCCTATAAAAAGAACAGTGATCCATTTACAAAAACCTTTTCTTGTAACGCTTTGCAACGACTAATCATAAGACTTAAACGGATATTCCCAAATTCCCAGAGAGTCTGTACCTTCGGCGAATTCAATGCAATAATTTAGAGAAAATTAGAAACATAACATAGTGAACGTAGCCCTCGTAAAATCTAATCTTAGTCTTCATAATTATTTCATATGGAAATTTCTCGAGAATGTGGAAAAGGGATTGGTATTATATAATTATGTTATGTAATCCTTGTACAATAACTATGTGGTGCCTAGAAATACGCTTTCCTATGACTCAGGGTCCAACAACCTTACATTTTCAATAAGATTAGATGAGACTCGCAACTCATCAAAGATAAGTTGAGTCTCTCTCCTTCAAAATATCTTTTTGTTATTTTCTTTGTCGATTTTCTGTCACAAGATGAGGCATAAACTATGGACTACGGCTAACTGAAAATGAGGGCCAACACCCATATGAGACCGAAATTCAAAGGCGTTTCCTAGAGACGCTCAGAGAGTTCGGTCTTCTAGGACCTTAGCCATGCACTTACTCACATATCACGTGAGTCGTAGAGGATTTTAATTTGAGGTGCAATGCGCTATCGACTAAATTGTATTCGCACAGCATGTTAAGGCCATAATGATATTGATGCAAATATCAAATTCTAATAACTAACGCCAAACGTAGATTTCCAACCTATCGAACCCTCCATAAGGAATGATTCGGACGTGTGACAACCAGACCTCTATAAGTTGCGTCATCTGTCATACGTGCAATACAATTTTGTGTTTCGTAAAATTTCTTTATTTGGTCAACTCTGGAAACGTGCACTGTTGTTTGCTTTTATTGTCCCAGATATCTCCACCTCTAATGACGTCAAGTAGAATTACAAGAGGAGGGAATTCTTTACTTGTTGAGGCACTCTCGTGGTATTCCTTAGTTAATGACATTCGAAGTTACAATAATTCGATCTGAATGTCATACTGATCTCGATTCGTTAAGGGGAAAGAAAAGCGCGCTACGATAAATTCAACCCGCAGATTGCTTGTTGAGGGCTACATTTCGACGGAAAATTTGATCACGTGAGTCGACGTCACCAGTGGAAATTGTGCGATGATTCGCATCTCAAGTCGAATTGTCTTTTATACACTGAGTCAATAAGAAGCTTTCCGAGCGCACAACAAAAAAATGCCATTTGCTTGATGACGCTGAGCATTCTTCAAAGTGTGCTGAAAGGTTGTAACACTGCTAGGTCTTGGCCTCTCTTACTCCTGGTTCTCTCTCATTTAGCGTTTTACGTCTGTTTCTGGAGTAAACTGAGCCGGCTGGCTACCACTGTAGAACATAGACTAAATAGCATAGTAGTTCCTTGACAATTTTCACCGGACCCCCTAAACCAGCACTTTTTTTCAAAACGAAACGCAAAGGAACAATATCTATTTCTTCATCTTCCGTAGAGGAAACTTTCATCTCTTACTGAATTTGAAATCGTTGATGATATTTAAATCACAATTGCATGGCAGACGAGTACATTGTAACCAAATACTGCGACAGTATAAGAACGTTGGGACACGAAACATGACCATACCCAGTACGACAAAAGGTTCTTATTTTGCTTTTTCAGTTTTTTCTCAAATTTGGCATCGGGCACCGAGACAGAGGTGAGACTGTAAGCGAAATAAATGATGACGATTCTTATTCATTTTCTATAAGAAGCACAAATCACTACAAAACCATCATGAAATTGAAGGAGAGCCGGGAAACGATATAATCGAATGTTTGCTTCAATAGTATTTGGTATCAGAGGAGCAACTGCAGTTTTACTCAAGCCCATTTGATATGTAGATGAAAACAAAAAAGTCACAGTAATATCTTGTTTCTGAAGAAAAGTCACGTTGATATGAATCGAAAAACTCGAGCAGCAACCGAAAATGACGGGTCATGCTGATGTTATTCAACTTTTTTAGCTTGATGAGAGACATCCCTCTTTCTATTTCGTCTACAATGCGTCAAACAGTTTTTTCACGGCTGTTTTCAGATGACAACATCCGTTCTGTAAATGTGAAATCTTGCCCGATTGCAGTTTTCTTCGCTTTCCAAATCAGAATCATATGAATATTTATATACATATCTAACCTGATTGCGGGCGCTGAAAAAGGACGAAAAAAGAGACGCTTGACAGTCACAAAGGTTTAACTTTGTTTTGGAGAGAACCTGTGAAAGTCGAGGAAAAGTGTCCAGAAATCTCAGCAATGCCATACATGTACGAGACGCCAGGGGCTGGGTTCTTAGATTTGCCGGTAACTTTGAACTTAATTTACTTTATTATTTACTTGTGAGAAACTCTTGTAGAAGCTTATTGTTTTGAGAAATTACCTCAGTTAACAATACGTTTCTGGGATACTACTGTTCGCTATACAAAGATGCCAGGCCAAGAGGGTTTTCAAAAGCATTATGGGATTTTTATGTCCAAAAAGTTATACATCATCAATTGATCAGTAATTCCATGGAATTAAGGGAGGTAAGTTTCTATAGAAGCTGTAGTACTGCGTCCGTGGGGGTACTACAAGTCTTACGAGCAAAATTTTTTATATCAACGGATGTTGATAATGTGAAAGAGATTCTTGCGCTGACGTTTCGAGCGTTAGCCATTCGTCAGAACGGACTGAGGAATTGAAGGTTCTGTGCTGTTTAATAGAGATGGAGATTCTCTATTTGCAAGGACTTGGTAAAACGAAAAACAAAAGAATATATCCGTTGAATGAAAGGCGTTCGGTGATACCGTGAAGATTAAGAGTGCCGATTTGAAAGATAAATTTTTGTTCTAGAGTTTTGCGGCTTTCCGTGCTGCCTAGATTTGGGAAAGGCCGTAAACTGCTAATGTTGTTAAACATGATTAGGGAGATTAAGTTGATTAATGACTGGCTTTGAATGCGTCTTTATCATCAAATAATATTCCTGTTTCGCCGATGTATCCCTTACGCAATAATCTCAAGTGTGCAATAGATGACATTGGCGAAAGTACAGGTGAAATGATTAGTAATCTTGAAGAGTCGCTGAGGTTCCGTAATTTGCTTAACGTTATAAATAAAAGCACAAGTTTTGGATCTTACGCAGGCGCATTTAAATGTTTCAGGTTGATTATTTTTTTCGAGTACATTTCTGATCAAAGAATTTCCTATATTTTTGTCACATGTAAATGGAATTCGTGGGGGTTTGGATAAGATTATACTAATTTCTTGCTTAACTGAGATTTTGTCGGTTTTTTTTTGAGATAAAGGAACAAAATTAAAGCCCCTATCGTAAGAATTCCTTTGAGTTGGAAAACAGAAGATTTCCTATGATGTAACTACGAAGTCTTAAAGGTTAAGGTTTTCAAGTGATTAGTCACTAGTAGTTAGAGGACTTGCTTAAGTTTTTAGGCCTTGGCATTAGGTGCAAATGGTTAAACATTTTATAACTCGTAGCCCTGCCAATAAATTTTATTGAAATAACTGGACACATTTTAGAAAGTTCAGAGCGGCACCGCAGAATTTGTTTGTAGAGGTCGTTTTGTATTTCCAAGCGACATCTTCAAGACGAATCATTTATTCATGGTTCGTACTGCGATCCTCGTAAGTTAATTTATTGATACCGAGGGAAAGAGGAGAACATTCTCTTGGAAAAACTGAGGTGCAAGAAACAAACCCAGTATCTTCCAAGTTATTCCTTCCTTCTGCCTTTTATTCACTTATAGCAGTTATAAAACAAGAGCCTTTAAACAGAAGTGATAGAAAGTTACCGCCAGTAGTTTAAGTAGGCAGATCGATTTAACATTACTGTAGTCGTCAGTAAAGTCAGTTTATCTTAAGCATGAATAGGAAGAACTTATTTTTCACAGCTCTCTCCGAGTTGTTACTATTCTCTTTTTCTTTTTCAGCGACAAGGGCCTCAAAAGAGCACTGATGGAATTTACCGCCAGTGGTTTACCTCGAGACATCGGATTGTGTCTCAGAATAAAGGAGGTCCGGTGGCTGGTCATTATGTGCAGATAGATGGAGATTGCGTGTCCGCAGATGCAGTCGAAAACGAGGACAAAGGTATCTGCTGTCTGTAAGATTTGGTATTTAGGTTTGATTTCTTTCAACAAGGGTAAAAATTTCAGGAATAAGCTCTGAAGGAGCGTTAATTTATCAAATCAAGGCAAAAATAAAATTAGTCCTAGTATTAACCTGCTACAGTGAGGACACGTCTGTTTTTCCTTTGGATTTTTCGTTGATTGAAAGCTTTCCATTGACAACACAAACGAAGAGGTGTTAAAATATATTGGCTCAAAACAGCCTAAGGGAGCACTGATTCTCCTTCCTCTTGAAATGTCAGCACCTTAAACCGCGCAGTGCTTTCACTTTCATGGAGATTTCCTCTTCTGTCCTACAGCAAAATTTCATTTCCACAATTTTACGGAAAAGAGGGGCGAGAAGTGGTACGACCATTACATTCTAGAGAATCAGATCAGTAAAGCCTGTATAGCCGTGAACCCTGAAGATGACACCATCACTGTTAAGGTACCGTTTCTGACAAACGTTCGCCCTTCGTGTGAACGTCAAACTTCAAATGAAAAGATTCAAATCAACGAATTATGTTTATGATGAATTTCGTGTTTAACTATTTCAGAGAACATTTGCGAAGATTGTTGCTGACAATGCTTATAATCCGTTTTTATTTATGTACCGCATGCGTACCGCGCCTTCCGTCGTTGGGGCATATATACTAAATATTAGTATGCTAAAACAGCGGATGGCATCGAAGGCGCGCTCTGATTAGCTTCTCAAACTCCAAATATTCTTTGCCATTTACCTCCGAGCAAGGCACGCGGGATTTGCGCCCTAAAATATTGCAACGGTTTTAGGAAAAAAATAATCACAAACTTGTTCATGAACTCTATCTAA